AAAATTTTTACGAAATAAGACGTGTACAGTTTTTTGATATGTCTTAAGGAAGGCTAAAACCTATCAGAAAAATTTCATTACCCTGATCCCGGTCCATCACCTCCGAAAAGTCATAAACTGAACTTTTACCGATATAAATAGTGAGAAAGAAAAATCAGGCAGTTAAGTGGCTGCTAATGAATAAGCGCACGCACAAGTGCACACAAACATTTTTCCCGTAGTATATATTTTATTACCCTATAGAATGTTTTGAACAAAGTTGTACGCGATTCATATATTTAGAAAAATGTCTACAACTGAATAACATGCATACAACTTCTTAAGCAAGTGTATGGACGAACGCGCGACTATTGCAAACATATGCCCATAATGTATAATCTTAAGTATGTATATTCTGGAAAAAGACAAAAACATTATGTGTATAAAATCGAACATTTCATTAACAACTAAAACAAAAACAGTATGTACATAAGAACGAACATTTCATTAGCAACATTATTGCAACATTTTGCCTTTAGGTTCTTTTGTATATGGAGCGGGCCGGTATTTGGCGAATTTCGAGGTGATGGACCGGGACCAGGATAACGAAATTAGGTTTTTCTGATAGATCTTAGCATTTTTCACGATATATCAAAAACCTGTAGTCTAAAAATTGTTATAACACGATTTTGACATTGCATTCTTTCAGTATTTGTAACATACTTTTGCATGAGATTTTCTAGCATTTTTGGTTTTGTGTACGCGGTTAGCGGCTTAGTATGTTTCATATGTGCACGTTTGCTAAGATTATTTCGCAATAAATTCTAACTTAGCAAAGACATTTGTAGTGAAGACACGAACTATAAAAAGATGGGTTATCTTGGGGGGCTATCTTCACTTCAGTTAATATTTTTAATAGAATCTTTAGTTCAAACGCCGAACAAGGTGAACTGTCAAAATCTGACAATGGTTACACCAAGGAATAGGTCTTTCTATCAAGGCAAAGAACACATTTAAAGACAACTGAAATCAATAATTAATGTTATTGATACTGTTCAGGATATTTATGCTGATTTAAATTGGGCGTTGAGGTGGAAATCGAAAATTCGTTCCGAAGGATAGCCTTCTTCCTTTTTTTTAGCTCAGATTTAACATGAAGGATGCCGTTAAAGCTACGCGCTCACGAGACAACAAAAGTAAAGTACATCCGTTGAGTAGTAAAATAATGCAAAAAAGAAGAAATACAAATGAAAACCTTCTGAAATATATATGCAAACCACTGCAAATCGAAACATTCACAATCACCTTTCGAGAATTTTTGTGCACAAAATAATATTCAGTTTTCTTTTTCCTTTTCTTTTTCACTATTAGTATTTACGATGGCCGCCTGACTAGATTTCTAAGTTTACTTTGTCCCATGTGGGCATGTAGTTCATTGGCTGATATGAATATATATGTATATAGGCTAATTTTTGTGTTGATGGTGTGAAAACTTTATTTGGTTTTTAACAAATCTTCCTATGCAGATGCACGCGCATGCATACCTTCTTCTATTTCCGTTTATTGTTTTTAAATAAATGCATATCGAAGTAAAAGAAATTGCATTCATTATTATTTGATAGCATCATGTATGTACAAAGATAAAATAACATAAGTGTCACTGGTATATGGAGCATATAATAACAATGTAGAACACATTACATTTAAGTTCATGAGGTATGTTAACTTGAGGCCGACCTATGGACTGATTTAACAAATTTAACCCAATGACAATGCAAAGGAAGGATCTTTTTCTTTTTTTCCTCTTTTGATTTTAGTGCCAAGGTCACCGCCAGGCAGAAATAAGTAATCCTGTTGCATTATTCACGATAATCAAGAGTATATCTTACCTATGAAATTCAATTATTGCTAAACATTGGGATAGAATGAATAAAGCAAAAATATGCAAGAAAACTTCCAACCACTACTAAAACCACATGCAATAAGACGTATTTGTATTTTTATACCCTACACCACTTGTAGAACAGGACATATCCCAACCAAATTTTATTAATGTTCAGAGTAATTTTCTAAATCGATCTAAGCCTGTCTGCCCATCTGATATCTGTCTTTGTAAATTTGTGTTCAAGCTATACGTCGCAATGACGTGCTTCGGCCCAAGGACGAACGCTATTGAAAATAGTTTGAATCGATTCATTTTTTTGATCATTTCCTCTATTTTGAGAGCTCGTTATATGAAAAAATTGCAATTTGCAAAATTTCTCGACAAAAGTGGCTAAATAATAGTATTTCGGCATTTTAAATTGGTATGAAAAGTTTGGATAGGTTGGGGCAACTTTTGAGCCCTCTCTCATATAATGAAAACTGCAGTTCATAGTGCAAAAAGATCTCATTTTCAATGCTTCATGATGAAAATCCGATCATAATAGTAATTTAAGATAAAAAATTTACTATACCAAATTTGAAACAGCCTCTCCTACACGAAAATTTTTGTTTTAATTGTAGTAAAATAATTTGAAATCAAAATTAACTACGCTGAATTTTGAACACGTACCTTAAATTTGGATCCACTTGGGCACAACCATTCTTACAGGAAGTAAGCCTTTTGCGTTCTATGGCAAAAATAAGAATTGTGTTAGAAAACGTGGTGTAGAGTGTTTAAAAGTCGGCCTAGCCCAATTATAATGTTTTCACTTATTTGTTTTAGCATATGGATTAGATTGTGCTTTTGCTTTTGTGTGAAGGTAGCAAAGTTTGCTCACTTGTCTGATGTATACCAAGGGAGAATTTCAGAATTTTCTGTTTTTAGCCGTTAGGTTTGCGTTTGGCCTGCGTTTATGTTTAGCTGTATTATATTTGATATGTTTTATTTTACAATTCTGTGTAAATTAAAAAAAATAAATTTAACAACTTTTACCAAGTCAAGGTCTAACGGTTAATTTTCATAAGGGAAATTAAAACGTTGCAGGTTGCTTCTAAATTAAAAAAAAAATTCATATAATACATACATATATATTTCTATGACATATTAAACCAAAACAGGCTATTGTCATCTACTTAATCTTAATTTTTTTTTTTTGAAATAGTTTACATACAGTCTTAATTAATTTATTAAGGCATATATTTTGTTTTGGTTTTGGTATAATAAACTAATTACTATAAGCAAGATTCCAAATCTATTCTATTGTTTAAGGAAAATTTATTTATTCTATATTTGCAAATAATAAAATAGGTTTCTTCCGACGACGAGAACCACACAAAGCCGTTCGCTGAAAAACATTTTTTTACTGATTATCAAAATAATATTCAATTATTACATGAATTTTTAGCTTTTTTAGTTTTTTAAAATAAATCACACTTTCCTTCAATTAGTCACCTGATCCATTTAAAGTTTATGATGGATTTAAATGAAGAAAGCAACAAGGAATTATTTTTTCGGCAAGCACTGCAATTATATTGATGATTCTACGAATTCCCTGAGCGAATAGTACACTGTAAGTGCTTCAAATATGGAATAAAATCATAAATGGCAAGGTTAAACAATTGGTTGCCCTTTAAGTAGTAATTAAGTGAATGTAATTTTTCTTTTAGTATTCTAACGCTTTCTTAGAATTCCAACTTAACACTGAACAAGTAAAAATATTATAGTCTGTCACGACTCACCATTAAATACCCAATGGCCGCCTTGTATATTTTCATAAAACTTATTTTTAAAATAAGGCAAGATATGGGAGGTGGTCGAAAAAATCCGATCCGAACTATATTGAATTGGGTTCGTTCTTGGAGCTAAACATGCTGGTGTGCCAAATTTCATCAAAGTATCTTAATTACAATTTGAATATAAAAGTGAGTAGTCACACATCAGGTAGATGGACAGACAGACAAGGTTAGATAGATTCAGATAGTAATTGTGATGAATAAAAGATAGGTCTACCTCAAGTCCTTGTGGACGTTACGCATCCTTACAAATTTAACACACACCATATCGCAAGTGATGTAGCGCATAAAAGCGGACAAAAATCGGGCACTGTTGGGAAATAATTCGCTATAAGTATTATTATGTAAAAAGCGTTTATTTCAAAAGAATAGTAGAACTTATTTTATTTAATGTATTCAATGCTCCCTCGTAAAGTACACATTTTTTCCATATTTGTGAGAAAATATGCGCTTTGCGTTAAATCGACAACCGGTCTTTCGAGAGTAGAGAAACTACTTTTCGGGCATCGGCATACGAATGGCAATATTGCTCGAGCAGACGATAAGTCAATAATTAAAAGTAATGTTCATTAGAAAACGTAATGTTTTGGTGAATACAATGCAAAGGGCACCAAATTTCTATTTAACACTGCTTACGTTTCTTGGATCAATTTCGCCGCATAGGGCCGAAAGCCATCACGTTGAGAAATCAGGATATTGAGACTTTCGGTATATTGCGGTCGACTTTGAACTAAGTTGAATCAGTTGTCGTTGGTAGCATTCTATAGCGATGGTTTCCTTTGATTGAAGCAATGCATATTTCGCTCCACCTAGGAAACCCCTCGCCACCACCGTTTTGTCAAATTGTAGAGCTACAGGCATTTAGTTATATCGTCGCGGTTAATGACTCGCCTAGACGGGATCGTTTATTGTTAGCATTTACTAGCAAATTATTTAGGTCGGGGATAATCCGCTTCCCACCTTTCCCATTTTTTTGGGTTAAATTCGACTTGTTCAAAGTTTCCAAAGACTTAACTTAAAATCACGACAAAAATAAAAACGGCATCATAACATGAATAAGTCAAGATTTGAAATATGTTCGCAAAGAAAGTAATGCCATATTTTACAAAAATCGATAAGAAATTACTTTACTAGACTAAAAATTTTATATATACGATGTACGTATATACTAAATAAAGTTGGAAGATAAAGTTTGGATATATCCACTTCAAATTTATATCTCTCACCATTTCACTGGCGTTACCGTATTTTGTTTATGAGGGATAACAGAAACAGCTATAAGTTGAGAAATTTGCGGCACTTACCGATATGTTGGCACTGGATGTCCTTGCGCAATACATGGTAACGTTGTTTGACCATTAAGCACAACATGACGCATGGAATGTTTTTCAACATTAATGCGCGGCTGGACCATACCTTTCGGCTCAGTAACAATAATCCGACCAGGATATGTTGAGATTTGGATTTCACCTGAATATGGGAAAAAAACCAAAGTTCAAAGCCAAGAACAGCAAGAATATGAATAGCACGAACTTAAAAACAAAAAATATATGAAAAACTTCTTTTATTCCTTTACATTTGTTTATTTTATCTTTTTTGTGTAAAAATATTCAAAAATTTAAAAGAAATAAATTTTTCCTCTATAACTGAGAAAGAAAGAGAGTATGTGTATTCGCCGAAAGTAAAAAAAACAAAGACAATGTTATTTGCAGAAATAACAGGCTATGCTAGAAACGCTTCCTTTGTAAGAAAATTTGTCAAGAGAAAGTAACCTCCGAAATATGCGACATTATAATTACCGTAAGTTTTTCCTAAAATATAAAATGTAGTATATGATAAATATGATGTAATATAAAGCAAAATTGCATGGTTCCATTAGGCTGCAGCGTATTAAACATTTGCATACTCATTTCGAAATCTATTAAATTTGTTAATTATTTGCAAAACGTGCATCTGTCTATATCTTCGGGAATCGGCCTGGGTGGCCGAGTAGGTAAGAGTCTCGACTAGCAACTCAGGGGTCGGGGGCTCAAATCTCAAGTGCGGTACAGTTTTTAATAAAGCCGAAAGCCTAAGTTGGGAGTGCTTTAAGACTTAAGTCTTAGAATTTATTCTCTGGCTAAATTAATAATAATAATAATATATCTTCAGGAGGACACATGTTCTACCAATAAAATTCAGAACTTGACTAACTAGACCGCTTCGTTGTATAATAAATAATATGTATATATCGTTTATATAATAAATAACATTTCTTGACTGGGTGTGAAAAATCCATAAGAAACAAGCAATTGGTGAATATCAAATGATTTGGTTGAAATCCAATAAAATTTTTGTATTTGTAAAATTTCAGTGCCTAGTATTTGAATAATATACTTGCTTGGGATTGTATCTACGTGTATATGTACGCATTTGCAAGCGCATAAAAAGTAATTTAACCAATTACATTCAATTTTGAAGAAGTCATTGTATGCAGCTTAAAGTGATTTCTTTTTTGGTTGTTAGTGTACCTGACAATATTTATTTAGTGCGTATACATGAATAGTTAGAAAAAGAGAGAGGGAAACGCAGTAAAAAAACGTCACTTTAAATAATGCATATTCTAACGAGCGAATTAATAAGTGATATTAAAAAGTCTCCAAGTTTTACTTCGCTGTTTTGAGTTTCTTTTTGTGGCCTGATCTTTTCAAATGATTCCAAACTTTTACGGGGTTGATGTTTAATGCCTCGATTATTTTCTGATAGCCTGCGTGCCGGTCTCATTGACTGCGAGGTTCATCTTTGACATCGAAAAATGTAAGCGAAAAATATGTACCGCGTACATTTCTTGTTAGATTTAAAAAAAGGATCTCAATCGATTTACGATCGTCCAATTCTTGACTTAAACACATATATAAGGTGTCAAACACAGATTCAACAGAGTATATATATACAAATATATATTGCAAATAGGAATGCATTTATACATATATTCATTTATTCAGTAACATCATTTGAATTTTTTTATGTTATTTATGTTTTCATTTTCTTGGGAAAAGGATTTCCGTCTTGTATACAATATTTTTTTCAGCATTGCGCAACGGAAGCAAACATTTTTACTTCCGTAGAGGGTATTCAGTTGTAACGCGTTTTTCTTAAGAGGTGGTGTTGGGTTTTGTAAAACCTGGTTAACTCAGTTGCGTTACAAAAAGAAGAAAGAATTTAACATACTACAAGTGTTGTTGATGTGACGTCAAATAACGGTGTTATGGTCAGTCTGTCTTGTTGCTCTATCCGTTAGTCTGCGTACTTGTAGCTGTTGGTCCGTTAAGTGACTGTCTGTAGTTACATCCACACACACACATCCCCTTACTAAGTTACCGCATCTTCGCGAAACCTTCTCTTCATCTAATTACTAATTAATGAACATAATTTTAAGTTATTTTTTTTTTTTATTATTTGTTAAGTCTAGTATAATTTGTAACCAATAGTGCATACCTAACTTTTTGTGTTCAATAGAGTATTCATATTAATTTTCCAATTCATTTTTTTCTTTTCTTTTTTACCAGTAACTTCTTCAGTTTTTCTGTTTGAAAACAAATTTTCTTAAAATTTTCTTTTATTTTTTTAAATTAATTTTCCTTATAAACACATTTTTTACTTCGTGTGATGTTTTTTCTTTCCTTTCCCCATACGGTGTGTGCTTTGCCTGGTTGTTGTACTTGTATTCGCTTTTCATTTAATCCTTTTAGTGAAATTCAGCTTAATTGTTATAGTGAAGCGCAGATTTTAATTTCACTAAATTAAATGTAAATTACGAAATAATTTTATGCGATTATCTCTCAACCAATAAAGCGGTTAACTAAGCTTTTAATCTAGTTACTTCAAGTATGAAAATATGATTTTAATTTCCACTACAATTTTTAGAGATTTTATTCTTTTGATTTCTTGTACTGTTTCCGCAGTGCTCGAGTCTTATTAAGCAATCATCTAGTTCTTTCTGCTCCACTATCACATGTCAAAGGCTGAAACTTCACTCCTAATTGTCGACTCTCTTGATCTGTCTCGTCAGTCTGCTCTTTTGTCTCGCTAATCAAAAAAAAAAGGAAACATGGCATTTGCTTATAAAAAAAACCTACTCTTATGGTATACAGACGGATTTTCGACTCTATTCATAATTCTCTCTTTAAATTTCGCTACTATGTGAGCCGGGAATTTTGGAAAGAAACCTTGATTAGAAGTCTTAATTAAAACCCGTTATTATATGTAACACTACTCCTTTTGTAAACAGCAGAGAAAAAGCCGACTGACAGAGACCCTCTATATACGCAGACGTTAGACAATTCGACAACAATATCCCTAATCTATGCATGTGTTTTTATAAGAAATCATATTCACGATGTGCTTCATAGGGTTCTTTATAGAAGGGAGTCCAGTATCTGGGTCAAAAAATTACTTATAGCTTAAATTCAATTATAATCGGCTGCGATCGCATCTTTCATATCGACCATCTTTATCCATTAAGAAAATACGTAAAGAAGCCTAATTTCCATAGCCTATAAAAATTGGGTGGGCACGGCTGATAATTTCCATTTTTGTAGAATAAAAGTGGAAATTTTTATCAATTGTCTATTGTGGTTTATGCGGCAATGACCAAAAAATGTTATTGGACTCGGATCTTAATTTAAATATTTAAAAGGATCGTTTCAACCTTTAGTGCAAGAGGGAGTGTAATCGGTTTGAAAACTCGATACGAAAATTTATGCAAAGGTTTTTCAATAGCAACATAAAAGATGACAATATGGATCGGCTACTTGACCGATAATGCGCAAAATACTTTACAATTTTTATAAATTTATTACTGTTTTTCTTATCCCTCGGCAGAGTGTCGGTGTATATAAATATCATCTTTGAGTGCTTATGATATCGTTATGATGGTATATTCAGGTTTCAAAAAAAAAGCGAGCATATTATATGTTATAAATAATTCGAAGAACAAAATAAGAGCGCATATTAAAAATATCTAAGCCCTTCAAGAAATTTAAATATTTTTTTACCGTTCCTGTCTAACGACTTTTATAACATAGCACGTTTTATGGGAAGTGAAAAAAGAAATGAGCGCATGTTGCGTGCTTTCAATAACGTTTGCCCTTAAGTCAATAAATGTACGATGCGCTAAATTTAACTAAAGTATCTCGAAAATTGCAGTCTGTGGATTGAACACAAAAAATATAAATACATATCAAGCATACAAACGTACAGACCAGTAAACAGGTCCATTATTGGCATAAAAAAAAGCGCGTTTATCTCGAATCCTTGTAGATGTTCAGATACCCTTTCAAATTCAATATACTCCTTTCCACAGGTGATGCAACGTATACACGTTATACATAACAGGTATAACTTTACGATGAAAATATGAAGTAAAAGAAATATTTCAATGATTACAATATGGATTTCAAATTACTTTAAGATACCCGCTATGGTTGCCTGTCGCTTTTTCGATTTTCAAATAATCTTAAGATAGATAATGTAAAGCTAAAACTTAATATATATGTGTATTTATAGCTTAGTTCTATAGATTACATTCTAAGAAGAATTCACTTGACTTGTAATTTTTAATTGGCATACACTTGTTGTCGTTTTCGGCTCTCGCTTGATTCTGACTCCTCTACTCGACCGGATCATTTGGAGCCACCTGTTTTACGACTCCCGTCAAGGTTGCCTTTTGGCATCCTTACCATATTCCAACTAGAAACGTCTGTTTCTGACTCGGGTTCCCTTATCTCCCGTCCTCCGTCTAGAACTGTACTGAATCCTATTTGTAACCTAACTTAGCCTTGCACTCCCCCCTCAGAGACGAAGAACCTGCGAGACCGAAACGGCGGGCGACTGTGGCTTCTCACAGTTTATATTACGCATTTTAAGTGAATGGTCACATATAAAGCACGAAAATTGGAATGGTTTGCTTAAAAAGCTGTCCACAGCCGCAAAAATACTTAAGTTTTCGACAAGCAGGCAGTGATGCAAAACTTGGTATACTTTTCAGAATTTTTAAAAATTTTATGCTATTTTTGCTATATTTTATTTTTAAAAATTTAACGCTATTTATTAATTTCAACTGCTAATTATGAAAGGTGCTCCGCAAAAGCTATTAGTAAAATCGAATTCTTCTGTTATATTTCTTTATAAAAAGATAATTTATTTCACTTTACTTCATGTCTTTGCGAAAGCTTGCTACTAGCAGTAATCGATATAAGATTTATTATTATTATTATTATTATAATTTTAGACTAATGAAATAAATTCTTAGACCAAAAAAAAATATATTGAGCACTAGCAACACAAGCTATCGGCTCTAATGTAAATAAATGTACATAAGCGTAGTAGTAGCAATAAAGAAATATATTTAATTGATATTCTGTTCTGAAACTGATTGTAGACTGTCCAAAGGGTTAATCGTTGCAAATGCAATACTTCTAGCCAAGGAA